AAAAAATGTAGCATTAACTACAGATTTCTAAACAGCTTGGTAGACCTAAAAATACTTTTATCAATTGTTCAAATCGTGTGTGTTTGACTGATCCATATCGCTTCATTGTTTTGGAAACAGGAGGTAACCACTTCTGAAACCCCTAAGATACTGCAGGATCCAGATAGAACTCTCATAATTTCTCAAGTCGAGGTATGCCCTCACATGGATGAAATAGTTTATGCCAAAATCCAGATGAATAAAAATGGGCCTTCAGTTTGGAATGGAGGCTATTCCCCCCAGGACATCCCTTTCCCTCCCTGGCAAGACCACACTGGCTCCTCTGTGGACACAGGAACACGCAGAACTCCAAATTCTGAGGACACAAGTGCCCAGTCCTCTGACATCTACAGTTCTGTGGCTGTTCTACCTAAAGAGAATGATGACATTCAGGAGGCTGTCACTGAACGTGAAAGACCATTACCGGATGCTGATTCTTGTGACACCAACCCAGATGGGAAGCTGCTGCTGCACACAGTGCGGGATATCAATGGAAAACTCATGTTGCCTTTCCTCAATTTTCAGTCACAGAGCAGCAATAGTGATGCAACATGCCTGTCAAACAAAGAGAGAAAACCTCTCCTATCAGACCTCATACCCTCTATGGATGAGTCATCGTTAGCTTCCTTGCTCAGCTTAAATAGCTCAGAGTGGTCCGATTCTGGATGTGACGATAGCTCTTCAACGACACCGACCCACTCATACTGCACCACCCGTTTTTCTCCATCTCAACCACTTATTCCAGATTCTGACAAGGAATGTGAGACTACACTATCGAGTGATGTCTCATTTGAATCAGGATACAAGCAAAACTGGATGCCTGAATTATGTAGCGGACCTTCTATTATAGACAGTTGCAAAAGGACAAACTACATGTGGACCTGCAATGGCTCCAAAATGGAAGACGACGACAATGAGGAAGTTGAAGACCAGGGAGAAGAAGAGAAATCAAGACCAATTTTCCTGGGAAGTTGGACAATAAGAATTCAAGAATAATAGACTTTGATTGACCCCTAACCCCCACCCACACATCCCGGTCCTTGAATAACTATAGAGAACATTTCTCTGGTTTTTTGACGGGAGGACTGACAGTACTTTGGAGGCAGAACTCCAGTAGATGGGTGGGTTAGCAACACACTGTGTTGTTCAAGATGGAGAACTGCCTCTGAATTGTTAAGTACATTTCACTCCTATGCGTGGCATATTTTCCTGTTTGTATCGTATATTTTTGTATATTTTTATTTATTATCTGACAATTGCAAAATATTGGTAGAAACTAACTGGGTTTACATTTAAAAGCCTGGGTGCATTTGCTGTTTATAAATTCTACAAATTCTTTGTCACTGTCACTTTTTAGCCAAAAAACCCACTTAAAAAAAAACAAAAAACAAAAAACAACAACATAATTTGCATTTTATATGAGGTTAAACAGCCAAAGTTTACCTCCTTCCAAACTAATAACATCTGTTCTGAATATGTCATTGTGTAATGTCTAAAGTGAAGTGAATAGGTGTCAACACACATCTAATTTCTTAGGGAATTCATAGCATATCTCACATTTTATGTAATGGGCAACAAAAAGAAAAAGTTGCACACTATTAATAACTCCCAAAACTCTAATGACACATCACAAGCATGCGTGTTTGTGTGTTATCTCTTTGACAACATGTTGCAACTTATTACAAACCCTAAATACATAAATCCAGTCTGGTCATTTTTAAATTACAATGTGGGCGATCAGCCTTAAAGATTAGATGGGAAAACAAATGCGATTGCATAGTGGCTGAACACAGCAGCAGACTGAGCCCGACACTTATTGTCACATATTGAGGTGTTTAAAATGGGAGTAAAATGACTGAATGTCTGCAGGACAACAATATATTCAATTTCTTTTCTCATCAGCATGTTTCAGTGTTAACAGATTTACAATTCATGAAATGGCTACATTTATGTATATAAAAAGAAATGGTGTTTTTCATCGCAATGTTTACGAACTCAATGTTTGCTGTTCTTCCAGCAGAAGGAAACAGACGGTATCACATATATTAGAAGGTGGCGTTGGTTTCCACGCACGCCATGTAGATAACACTGAGGCTTTTAATAGCGTCAGTGCAGACTTTTAAATACACCTATAAAGTAATAATGTCAGGTGTGTTGAAACCATGTGATGTGAGTCACATGTGAACTTTGTACAGCACATTTTAGACGTCTGTTTTATAACAGATGATATATAATCTGTCTGTGTTCTTTATTTACACTTTGTAAATTTCCACTTACTGTTTATGTTGGAAGTTCATCTTTGCAAGTCTGAGTAGCATTAAGAGATAAGAGTTTAATAACAACCATTGAGTAACATGTTCTACAGTAAAATTTGTGAAAGTGTCATTTTCAGTTTTGAGTTATTACTGGAAATTATTAAAATGTCTATATACTGGAGAACTTCCTTAGAAACTGTTGCAGTGTGAGTGTAGCAGAGACACAGTTCTGTATGCAAGCTTGATTGGGAAAACTCTGAACATATTCTGAAGAAATGTCTAAGAAATGTTTTGATTAATGGGCATTCACTAACCAAAATATCGGTTAGACAGTGCTTATGTGAAAAAACCATGCCAACGAAATAAATTTGCATCTGTTTTGTAACATACTGAAAGTTCTTGCAACATGCCGTACACATTGACCTCGTCACGTAATAAAGAGGTGATGTGGACGGTGCAAAGAATCCAAAGTTCAACTCAACCGCCTGTTGCTAAGTGCATGTTTTCAGTCAACTAATGATGATAAAGTAGCTTTGTTTTTCTACTTCTGCCTGGGTGAACATGCTGTAAAAGTCTCGTGCTTAACAGTTTAAAAAAAACAGTTGTTATGTTGAAAATCACAAGTGGCACTGATTTAGCAACAGACTGCACACTGAGAATAGAAATGTCATTAAATGGTTAAATGGTTAGAAGGCACGCTCAGAGGGGGTAGTTTAAATTATAGCCTAAAGAATCTAAGAAGGGCTGACCCAATTGATTGTGATTTGAGCTTATATACAAAAAATACACAGCATTGTTGGCGACTGTATCTGTAGCCTAAAATGAGAGTCCATTGTTTTGTTTGGGTTTTTTCTGAGTAGCTAGGAGAGAAAATGATCCTTCCATTCACTGTTCAAACTGAAAAGGGGAAAAGTGTAGCTAACTTCAAGACATGATACAGTATAAGCTTTTGTGCGCACCTCAGATTTAATGCCCATTGTTAGCTTAGTTATACAACTGTTACCAGATATGCTAATAAGATATTTTCCAATGAAAAGCTGACCTATAAGCAGGAAACAAAGAAAAAAGTAAGTGATATGCAATGCTTCACTCAAAACAAGCCTTAAATATCTAATCAGAATAACAGAT